TCTGTATGTGTGGCCTTCACAGTTGGTGTGTGTCATTGCGTCATAGAGAGTAATGTTCACGTAATGTTCCCAGAATTCTAGAGCAGACCTAGACAAGTGTTTATTTCTGAACCTTGGTCTTTTCTTTCCATAAGCAGCACACCGGGCAATGGTTTGTGCCCCAAACATTTTGTCATTTGCTTTCATTCAGACGCTTTGCTGGTTACCCTGTTTTTCTAGACTAAAATTTCACAGATTCTGTCACAATAGAAAATAATTGCACCAAAGCAGAATTTGGGTTGCTGCGCAACAAGCAGGACTAATGCTAAACCTGAATCAGCTGCTGAATTTCTCCCTCTTACATGACGAATCACTGGATGACACACACTTTCTTTAGCTTGATCACTCACCCCAGTGCCGAAATGAGTTTGGGGAAGCGAAAAACACTTTCAAATGGCCCCCCGTAGTTACTCAATAGTTTTCCTTCGTGAGGAAATACTGCAAGAATTATGCTGAATTCACAGTTAAAAAGTGCAGATGGAAAGTTAAAAAGAGGATATATTTACTTGGAAAAAACAACTCATGTCTAACTTTGAGTCGAGTAAACTATAATAATTGCCCCTGCTTTAATCCTATATATCGTAACTATTTTTAAATGCATCATAGTGTGAGAAAATTGGCAGACATACAAAAGGTACATTTCCTCAGAATTGATCTTTGAACCGTAGGGCTTGATACCGGCTGATTGGGCAGTGGGCAGTTGGACAAGGCTCCAACAGCCATTGACCATTACATTACAGGTCATTTAGCAGACGCTTTTATCCAAAGCAACTTACATTACACTTTAAACCCATGGCTTTCCACATTTTAGCCCAGGGAGCAATTAGGGGTTAGGTGTCTTGCTCAGGGACACTTCAACATGGAACATGCACACCTTCTCTAACCCCTGCGCCACGACGACCCCCACTCAATCCGATGCGGACTGCATCAGTCCATAGGGGAAGACTATATAGTCACAGCGAGTTCCCGTCACTCCTGCTGTTGCCTCTCTCGCACGTCCGTGGGCTAACACTGATACCTAATCCTTCCCTTGCTCTAACAAGGGAAATGAAATGATTGTTAAGGGCTCCAGCATTACGCTAAAGTTCTATACACATTCAGTACATTAATAGAAAATTGTCCGTGAATGCAAAAAAAAGGCAACTAGACTCTACACAACTCTGGACGCACTTGCATGTGACAGACATCTTTTTTTCTATTTGCTGCTCTGGTATCCAAGAAGAGGAGAGTCTACTTTACCTTGTGTTTTGAATGAACGAAAGAGGCATTGAATCTTATTTGTCCAATAGGAGTAAATCCTCTCACACAATCACTATACATACTCCTAACTATTTTTTCCGCTTTGATAATAAATAAATAACTGCTGCTTTAAAATACATTTTAGTGACAACAGCAGGTGAAAAATAATTAGGTGATGATTTTAGAAATTCTCAAAATGTAATTATGAAGGTTTTCAAGGGTTTGGAGTCTCAATCAAGGGGTCTTAGACCCCCCTGAGGCCCCCCCATCTTTGCACAATGCATAAGACCATTCCGGTTTGTCTAACCACATACCCACCAACGTCGTTACACAGCTCCACCGAGAGCTCATAGGTGACTGTCAACATCATGTTATGCACCTGCAAAAAGACCCTTCGATCCCCCCCAGTCCATGGACAAAAGACATCTCATTCAGTTCATTCGTTTCACTCTTCGTTCCTCTCTTCTTCCAGGTTCTGGGCACAGCAAAGCCTTCTGTTCATCACTGGTTGGTCCGTGCCAGAGCCACTGCTCATTACAGCCCCACATCTGCACTCAATAACAGGCCACACTCTGCATGAATAACGGCAGTGTTGCAAACATGAGCGAATGTCAGTGGAAGGCTTTATTACTGGTGGGCAGTGTGTGTGTGTGTGTGTGTGTGTGTGTGTGCGTGTGTGTGTGTGTGTGTGTGTGTGTGTGTGTGTGCATGTATAGGTGTGTTTGTATGTCTGATAGGCCTCTCCAACTCCTCGCTGCTCCAGTGCAACGGCTGGAGGTAACCTAGCTTAACCTCTGACCCAGCTGTTCCCTCTGTGTGACCCTGCCCCTTGCCCCCGCCCGAACCCCCATTTACCCCCATGTGCCCCTCAGCTTCTGGCAGAGATGGATGAGAAGGGGGGCCAACAAGAGATCACACACATTCTGTACCCCGCCTCTGTGAAAACAAAGCCTGTGGCATTTAAGGAAGACTGGGAGACCGAAGCTTTATCTGGCAGGCCACAGTGCACCTCAGACAGACCCGGGGAACAGCTGAAGAACGCGGCGGTGCCACACACAGACGGGGGAAACAGGTTGGTGCGAGGTGAGTAACCACCGATCGAGACGTTCCTCTGCATTCCTCCAAGGGAGCTGTAAATATTTGCTAACGGCCCACAGCAAGCCCGTACCTTTCTCCTTGGTTTGCATTTCCCCGCTGTGCCTTTAGGATGAGCCATATACCAGAGTTGCTTGTCTAAGCGTTATGACCTGCGGTGTCCGAGGTGTTAGTTTCCTTTTTTCGCAGTGTTTGGTTTCCATCAAAAGCACCTCCGGGCTGCTTGTTTTTCCTTGAAAGAAAAAGAAGTAAAACATGGCCTTTCACTTTTACAACATGAAATTGTGGGAATAATGGAACAGAGGCGGAGGAGGATGTGGAATAGTGACCCGCCTGTCAGGACGTCTAAACAAAGAGGGAGTGGAGGGTCAATCAGACAGACGCGACCTGATAAGCTGTGCTCAGGGCTCCGTTGGCCCCTGTTTACTTTGCAGACATACCACTGGCCCACAGTCACTTCCTTTCCAAGTCGGTCGTAGAGATGGAGAGGGATGAAAGGGAGAAGTGGATCTGAAAGGGAAGAAGGTGCTGGATACAGATTGCACTGGAGAAAACTGTGATTCTCAAGAATATAACAAAGCAGGAAATGTTTTGGGTGTTGCAGCGTCAAAAAACAATAAAATGTTATACTTTCAATCAAAGACAGCTATAAAGAAAAAGGAGATGGAGAGAGAAGTACAAAAAAAAACCATTCAGCAGCAGCTGGGCATCAATTTCACTGCTGGGATCAGGATAGGTGATGTAGTTTAGAGAGAACGGCTGTGGTTGGCAGGACAGAGGGAGGTTTACTGGGGAATATGAAATATGAACACGTCACCCTCTACACTTAATCAACTTGCTTGGTAACTGTTGTAAGTCATCTCCCTTCCTTTAGATAACGACACCACCGATTGAGTATCCTCATTCTGTTTTAGTTATTACCGCCGTGCACATGAACCAGGAACCATTTTTCACCGAGGGAGACGTCTCACTTAAGAGGTATTTCCTCAGATGTATTTTCTTCTCTCCCCGCGGCGTGGGGTGGACGCTGCTCTCGTCCCGATAACATATCATCTATTGGCTTAAGACGTTGACAGGAAACAAATTCCCAGGGATGACAAAAGCCTGGAATGCGCTACAAGGAGGTCGTCTCCCACACTCCCTCAGAGAACCCTCCCCCCAAGCAGTCCCCCGTTCCCGGCCCTCTGAAGGATGTTTTTATGTGGTAATTGATGCAAAGGTGCTATTGATAAGAAAGAATGAAACATCAAACCACCTCACAGAGCAGCAGACAGGTTGGGGGAGGGGAGGGAGGTCCCGCGGTTCAATCAAACGTTTTAAGAACACCACCAAAGGGAGGATTAATCAGTCTTTCTTTCCCGTTTCTGTTCTCACGTTTTCTGTTTTCTTTCCCTCTGGCCCCTCCTCTTAGGCATCTTTTTCATTGCGGCCTATGTGTGTGTGTGTGTGTGTGTGTGTGTGTGTGTGTGTGTGTGTGTGTGTGTGTGTGTGTGTGTGTGTGTGTGTGTGTGTGTGTGTGTGTGTGTGTGTGTGTGTGACCATTGGTGCACCATTAAGACCTTGGAATTTCTTTTTTAAATGAGCCCAAAATCCATTAGATGACGTGCTGCAGACTTTTTATTTGTCTAACACAGATTAGTATTATATGTAACAAAAGTGCAGATTTGACATCTTGTGTTTTTTACATTTGTGGTCGCCTAGTTAACTTTAATGCGAGGTGTAGGCAGTTAAAGGCTTGGTTTAGGAGATTAAGAAACTGAAACTATACCCTGTGTCGTTCAGAGTTGTGATCGTGTCTTTGGTTTGAAAGCCTTTGGTAATGGGTAAATAAAAAAAACGTTTTCTTTTTGCGTGCACCTTTTGTCTCATATTCATGCCTCTGTTATGGCGTCTTTTGACGGTTTCTCCCAGCTGTTGTCCTCATTTAACCGCTTTTCAGGAAGTGCTATTCATTTGTTTGTTACGTTAGCGAGTAAGCCAAAGAAAGACAGACGAGCTCAAAAACAGACAAACCGTCGAAATGTTTCCACCTGAACCCGCGACGGAAAGGCTCCGGCCCCTTTTGCAGCCGACTGATGTCATGGGTCGAATTCCTGCGCAGAAGTAGGCCAGGGCCTTGTACGATAGCGGATTGCTGACTAATCATAGAGAACAAGCTGGGTAGGAGACAATGCTCAAGCTCAAAGGAGCTTTGTGTCAAGCGACTCGTCGAGCGCCTCGATGCTGCCGGGGCCTCAGCAACAAACGGCCCCTGTGCCGAGAGGCTGGTGCTGTTTCGAGCCGGCCTTCCAGTCGCTGTACCTGCATTGGACGGAAAAGGGGAAAAGTTTGAGTGGGTTTCGCTATTCACAATGAAGTTGGCATGGCCGCGTCTTATCTGATGCTTGTATCTGCGAACCATTAGCGGACCAAAGTCCACGGGAGACGCAGAGTGTTGCCTGTGTGGATTCCGTTTATTGTATTGCAAACGAGCCGATCTCTCACTGCGGCCCCCTCAGAGAGCGGAGATGCCTTTCCATTGTGAGAGGGTCAGAAGAGAAAACAACAACAACAAAGGGAAGGGGGTAGGGGACTGTCTGCTTATTGTGTGTGTGCATCTATTGTGTTGTGTGTTGCAGACAACTTGTGTAAAGTTGCCCGCGGGGAGATCTGGGCTCGTCTTCGCTTCGGGCCGGGCATGTTCCTCGAATGCCGACCCCAGGAATTCCACGGCCCGAGGTCAGAACTTTTATTTCTAGTCCTACCTTGCGCCATTTGCCAAAACACACAATTCACTGATCCCCTGCCGGCCAGAGGAGGGAAATAGCTTCTAACGCTCAGGTATTTGGTCTCATGCAAAGTAGAAAGAAATTGCTGCCGGCAACTACTTCTCCACCAATCATACGTACTGATAAAGCACAATCAGATAAAGAAGCTCAGGGTCTCTCATGGAAACGATGGTGCCAGGAGTAATTTGGAACTATTTGAAAAATGTTGTTTTTAAATCCATTGATTTACTATATATAAAGCGTCGGCTTCAGGGCGGCTACCGCTGTCTGTGTCAGAAGCTTTTTGGGAACAGCTTTGGAAGTGAAACTCTCAGTAAACTGTGCCAGGGGTCAGTGCAGCCACACGAGGACAGCTGAGGGTACTTAAGGAAACGCACCGCCTCATATAGATAACAACTTTAACATTGTTGACACAATTGATTGTCTAGCAAGAACCGCGTATTTAATGATGCTGGGACGACCGGGCCTTGAGGCTGTAAAAATGGTGTTTTTTTTATATGATCTGGCGCAAAAGAGAGAGTGTCTCAGTGTATAAGTATGTCTTGCACATGTAACACGACGTGCCAAATGTGTCACAGCACATTAGGATCCTATTTATTGTAAATCCACAAAACCTTTGGAGTAATATCCTATTTTTTAATTTATTTTATGCATTCCTCTGCCTCAATGTGTCCCTGATTTGTTGCAAACGGACGATAAACGGTAACTCAATTACCTCAGTGACCCGGAAAAATACGATCACTTAATGATTATGTGGGAAAGAATAGGTAGTCGGATGGGAGTGAAGTGATATATGAGAGGGTAGACAATAAAGCTATTTGGATCAAAACAGCGGTGGGGTGACTTCTCACGTTACTTGGTTAAACTTAGGCAGCGGCTAACCGCAAAAACGTACAGGGCCCGAAATGTATGTCACAACTCACATAAGCGGTGGCGAAATGAGATCTCCGATCTTTCGACCTTTCAAGGCGAACGAATGGGTCGTAAGCGGCAGTCTCATGTGTTACCGTCAGTGATGTTGTCCTCACGATGTTGACTACTGAACCTCAAAAGCTGTCCTGTACCTCCTACTGTGTCCCTGGAATTTGTGTCTAAGCAAAGCAAACATGCTGATGCACACACACACACACAGACAGGTTCATATGCGTTCAGCCTAATGAACATAGCAGAGGAGCCATTCCACATACCTCATTAATTTACCCGTACTGTTTTTGCTCATTGCACACGTACTGGAGGGGGTCTTTAAGATAGGAATGCAAGCCCTTCAACACACACACACACACACACACACACACACACACACACACACACACACACACACACACACAGACATGTGTATCTTCTCAGCCACACTGTCAGATGCACAGTGAATGAAATCACGCATAGTCACCAAATTGCACCATCCCCTTTTTTTGTTTGTGACACCGTGTCAGTGGGAAGCCCGGCTGTGAGCTAACCCCACCATATTTTTCTCATCTTCTCTGTTATGTTTGGCACTTGTTGTGCGCTCGCAATGCACGCACACACACACACACACATCGCGCTCACACACAGCCCCACGCACTTCTTCTTGGCCATGTGCTATTAATACATTTAAGAAATCTAAATTCTTTCCATTCCTATCTTAAAGACCACCTCCAGTTTATGGACATGAGTTCTTTGTCGTTTATGTCCATTCCTTAGGTCACGTTTCAGCACACTATTTTTACGATTTTTGTCAGCTCCCACTGCCAGTATAAAGTACTTAAACTTTGGGAAAACCCCAATAGTGAAGAAGCCACATAAAGCAGGGAAATATTACATGTATTTTGATGTTTTCCAAGTGAACTTCCTGTTAATAGGACGACAAGGGAACAAAGGGGTGTTTTTTCCTACCGAGTGTTGTTTTTGTGGTGGTCTTGCTGGCTCATTTTTCACACGTACAATGGACATAGTAAATGATGAAAAAAAGTGTTATTGCGCACTTTAACTGCCTGTTTTTCTGCTCTTGTCCCCCTCATCCTTCCCCCTCCCCTTCGACAAACCCGTTGCAGATGACACATGGGAGCTGAGCTGGCAGACACATCATCCCTTATTATCACACAGACCCACCGGACCCTCCATGCAGGGGACACAGATGAGCAGGTCATGCTGCTGGAATGTGGACTGGGACAGGTGGAAAGGGACATATAGGGGGGAAGGGAGGCCCTGTTGCATCATCCCTGTCCACTCTGCTGCAGTTTCCTTCATAATTGTCTGCTGGCAAACCTCCGACAAGAACTCTGGATCCTGCGCCTTGTTGTGTTTGGCCGCAGTGATTATTTTCTTAGAAAGAACATCTTTATTGATAAAACTTCATCTTTTGTCCAGGGCTGTTTTGCTTGCTGTTTTGTTTGGTTTGCCAGTCTGCGACGAGAACTCTGTCTCCCTCCTGACTTGTGAAAGATACATAATATTAATGATGATATTTTTGTTTTTGAAGAAAATAATGTTTGTTTTCATAGAAGCAGTTACTGGAACTAAGATACAAAAGCAAAAAAATGAAATACAGTGGTATGTTTCCGTTTCCGTTTTATATACGTTTTGACATATGTCATTTCCATTCTATAGTTTTGGTCATAAAAATAAATCATGTGTTTTCTGCTTTTTGAAATGACCTACAAAAGCATTTCAAATGGATGCATTTCATATATACAGTATTTGGCAGCATTCAATTGATTGAGCTTTTTCATGGCACACTAGCCTTATTTTACTGTTACCAGTTTTAGTACCATTTGTATGTTGGATGTCTGCTTTTCTATTGTTTTATCTGCAACATTTCATGCGGCCATCTAAGCCAGTTCTCATTTAAAATTTAAATCTGTTAAAGAAAACTTGGAATAACCCACGGACATTGTTAAAAACACACAGCACAGTGCTGCAAGAGAGAGAGGTCTGACGCTATGAGCACAATCTTGTATTTTCTAACAAAAATAAATAAAAAAAAGTTTCAGCATGGAGGTCAAATAAAGACAAATTGTTATTTGCAGTTATGGCAGTAATTACTACTGGGCAGTATTTGATTGACTGGACGCACGGGGGTTTGTCTGGAGGAACAGCTCCCTGTTTGACCTGGCCTTAGACGGCCAGCTAACTCTCGCTTTAATGATAATAATAAGGCCAACATGGTATAACCTCTCTTGCTACGAGCCCTCAATTACTAGCCTGGCACATTGCGTACGCACTCAGTCTGTCTGGGGAGCAAGCCACTGGATAATTCCCGGTTACCTGTTTTGCAGGCCCTTCTCACAAACACACTTTAAATGCACAAACCAAGGGGGGGAAATATGTTATGAACACTTATGCAGAGAGACAGATGCAGGAACGTGACCATAGGAATTATCCCGTCATGTAAAGGTTCAGCTAATGTTCCTGTCAAGAAATGTCTGATTAAGTTAAAACAACTGCTGCTGCTGCCTCATCGCAACCTCAGGCGGCATCTGCATTGAGTGAGTAACAGGAAATTACTTTTGATGTTCTGTGCTAATTGACAATAGAATTAAGGCCATTATTGGGTGTTTCTGTGTTTTCAGCATTACAACTCGTAATATTTAACAGAGGCCGCTGACTGTGACCACCAAAGCCCTTACTTCCCCACATCCAGAGCTAAGTGGGCAAGTTGAACCGTTTTCATTTCCGCTGAAAGTTTACTTTTTCTAAATAATGCGGTTTTCACAGGACGTGACGCATGAATACGAGTACGACGCTTGACGTGCTGTTTCATGGAAACATTCTGCATGCACGTGCACTGCGCACAGGTCGCTTTGAAGTGTCTGTGTCAATACACCCCAACTTATCTGGTAATCAAGTGAGCTTTTGTCCCCAGTTCCGCCAAAGGGCTGTAAATCCACATCATTATCTCACTTTCTGTCACTTTTATGGCCCCGTCATATCCGCTAAATTAGCATTTTCCGGACAATCATCACTCAGGCCAATCCTCATTGCACACTTGCCCCAGTCAGATAAGCTCACACTAAAGGCTGTGGAAGTGGTGGCATTTGTAATATTGGGCTGATATTACAAAGGTTACAAACTGATCCAAGTTTCCATGTGCTGTGGGAGATTAATTCACCATGGTAACACCACCTCCAACCATGCACACGCACATGCACAGACACACACATACAAACTCAGTGTCTCATCGTTGTAGGTGCTAGGAGGCTTTGAACTTGCACACGGGCCAAGACAATCAAAAGTGTGACTCGTCATACTGGATGTCAGCTAAGCCTCTTTAATCCCTTCGGCAGTAAAGATCTGAATGATAGCGCGGGCCAGTCGTAATATCATATATTCTTTCGCCGTGCCGTCTTGCATCGTTGTGCATATGTTCTCCACTGTGGCACCGTTTACTGGTCTCCCATAGGCAGACCATTAATTGCTTGGCGCCTCGCAAGAAAAAAAAAAGGGAAAAAGCAAACAAAGAAACAGTTTTGTTAATAGCCCGCTGCTGTTGGCTGCTGATTTTGCCCAAGTAGTAATGCCAATTCTTTTGGAACACACACAAACATCATACTGCCACCATCATTAGCAGGGCTCTGTGAACACAAATGTGAGTGTGTGTGTGTGTGCGTATGTGGGTACATGTTTTAGTATTTTGAACGTTTGTGTGAATGTGTGTGTGTGTGTGTGTGCGCTTTCATTTATATTTGTGGATACATGACTGTTTGTTTATGTTTGTGTACATGTGAGTGTACAAGTTGTTTTTTTCGCAGACAAAACCTTTGTCATCACTGGTGTGCCAGACCGGTGGCACTGCCATTTAATTTAAATGCACACACGAACACGAACACAGATAGTCTTTTAGTTTTGGCATTCCCTGGATTAGTTCCCGTCCGCGTTGCTGAAGCATGAGAACAAAATGGACAGTCTTGGTCTGAAGGATGGCACAGCAGACACAGAGACGTGCTGCCAGCTTCATTGGCAAGTCTCAACTGACGATGGTTTGTGGCGCATTTGCAACGCCCATCTCGTGTAATATTCTCACAAATGTTTCCTATTTGTGTGTGTGTGTTGACAGCGTTGGAAATATGACTCATTCTTAAAAAAGGTCGTATTTTTCACGCTACAAATGAAAGTGTCTCTGAAAGTGTCCCAGGAGTTTGAATCCTGGATGATAGTTTTATCGGGAGCACTCTGCCATCTACTAAAATCACAGAAAAGCAGAAGGACCGGAAAAAAGAGGAAGGAAAAAGGTCAAGGAGAGGAAGAGAAAGAGAGCGTAGAAGGAAAGAACTCAGTAACCCCTGGACCCTTGCAAGGGCCAACGAAATGGAGCTTATCGTGTTTATGTGGGGGAGAAAACTGGCCCGAGGAGAGAGGAACCTCCGCTATGGCTGTATGCTGACTCTGTTCACTGGAGACTGCAGCCTGTTTGTGTGTGTGGGAGTGTGAGTGTGTGTGTGTGTGTGTGTGTGTGAGAGAGACAGCTGGACATACACGCTGGCCCTTGCTTAACTGTTGCACAAAAGTCCAACTCGACACTTCTCATTCAAACACACGTTATAACATTCACAGCGATCCGTGTATAAACCACAGTTTGGGTTTCTCAGAAATACTTTTGGCTTCTTTTCATCATCAAAAATTACAATTTTCTATGTAGGAATTACATTTTTCCTGCTGAATTTAAAGCTATTGGTCTCCAGCTTTGAGTCCCGGTGATGGCGCTGCTTGTGTTGTTTATCTCTACCTGAAGAAAAATAATATTGCCAGCCACTCCAACAGAGAGTTATTTGATGATGGATAGGTATGGATCACAGCCTGCCTTGTAATTAAGAGAGATTGCTATTTTCCCCTCAGAATGGCCTCTCCTATCCTGATCTGTAATTATATGTTGTTGAAACATAGAGGGGAGTGTCCCTGGATATTGTGCAGCCTGCTTTACCACCACAGCAAGTGCCAGCATCACCGATTGTCTGCCTGAGGTTTATAAAGTCTCGATTCTTTTGGGGTTTTCATTAACAACGTCCAGCACATTTTGTTTATCTGCACAGCCGTCACTGTCTTGCCTCTAAGGTCCTGAATTGGTCCACGGCAAGTGGGCAGTGCATGTGTGTGTGTGTGTGTTGTCCCTGGTGGTGCCCCGGTGACCTTTGCATAGTGACACTGACGTGCAACAATGATGAATGCCCCGATAGAGTGAAGTATAAGGACACACCTGGATAATGTTAAAGTTAAAAAGTCAGAAAACCTTAAACGGTACAAGATGCTGACCTCCTTGTTTAATTAAGTGCAGTGTTCTGCTTTAAAACATTTACTGCCACCCACTTCTGTTAGGGTGGGGGGTGAGGTGAATTTGGTGGGCCCAAAAGCACACGCACGGCAGTCTTGGATCTTCAGCCAAAATTAGTTTTATTTTCTCACAAAAAAAACAAACAAGGGGAACACGGGGAACAGAAAGGCGCTCCTCTGACTCAACTGGAGTCGGGAGGGAAACTCCACCGACGTCTGGGGTGGCTCAAACAGGGTCTGGTGTGGATACCCGAGGCCCGACACCAGATTCACAGTCCAACTCGAAAAAAAAGGGCAGGTTACGTGCACTCCGAGGTACTCCGTGGATTTGACACCAAAACAAACCAAAAACATGAATCAACTGGTCTAGCTGCTGAATCTAAGTATCTACGGCACCTGAGACCAGCCTGGGTACTGGGACGGACTGACGACGAGCCTCAGACAGCAGGAGCCTTTATACTCGTCACCAGTGATCCCCGGAATGAGCCACAGCTGGGCACGTGGGAGAGGGGTGGGGCCGGAGGCGGAACACACAGGTGGAAACTATAGGTGGAAGAAGCAAAACAAGCAAAAACAAAAGCACAGACTGGGGGGAAAAACTTAATAAAACCGGGTCCCTAACAACTTCACTCTTCCTGCAACACCTTCAATCACATTTTGCCTTTAACAAATGCGTGAATTTTTCAGAAAGGAAAAAGTGATGCGGGAAAATGAAATCTACTGTGGGCTGATATTTCAAATTGTCTTTTGGAGGAAAACATGAACAGTTTTGAACTGAGTTGCCATAGAGTGTAGTGTTGGACTCTTGTGAATAAGTATAGCCCAGGCGGTCCGTGCCCCCCCTACACACACACACAGAGTATATTTCAGTGTAAAGCTGTGACCCCCTTGTTTTTCCAGTAAGAGGAAATTGTCATGCAACGACCCGGTGACCACACTGGAAACCCTTTGTTATGATTTTCTATGGTTTAACCACTTCATTACCCATGTTCTGGCCCTCCAGAGTACAGTCTACCACACGCATCTTGTTGCATCCACATCGCTATGAATGTGTTACACTGACCTTTCAGAGCCGTGTGACAAAGGCACCAAAAGCCTCAAAATTGCAAAACTTTACAAATATGCAAACCACCGCGATCTGTGTTTAGTGCGTGAGTGGGTGGCGTAAGTCCTTCTCGAGCTTCTCAAAAGTCAATCAAATGAAGCCCAAAGACAAACACTCACACCGCACAGTCGCTTTTCTGTGGCCGGATTGTTTGTTTTTGTCTCATCCTCGTGCTCTTTAAAGTCACTTTTTTTTTTTTTGTACACATTAAAAACCGAGACAAATAGTTAAGCCATGTAACAACAGGACAAACAAACAGATTTGATGGCGAAGAAAATCCCTCTGCCCCTCTGGTGCAAAATCATCTAAAACTTCCCCTTCATTGTTAATGTGTCAGAACCTACGGTTACATAATTGGAAATCCTCCTCACAGCTCCTGGTTGATTAGGAATTAACAATTAGATAGTTTTTGTGGGGCGTTGAAGAAACACAATCACCTCTTTATGCTCAGGCTTTGCTGTAAGCACCTCAGAGCCAATGCAAGGATGTAGATTGC